AAATTTATCAAAATATTTTGTGGATTAATTAATTTGTCTGTGAGTTTAATTCGGATTTGATGTTTTCCATTTATAAGCGCCTCCCATACACCTCCCTAAAATCTAATCTAAAGTCCTATCGAATCTATTATGTCTCCAACAAAAGCTCATGTCAGAGAGTCTACAGGTTTGCTTGTTTAGAATTTACGAAGTGATAATAAAGTCAACGCTTGGAAGAGGGATTGAAACCTCATTTACACCTCTTAGTGCCGAAGTTTCTCAATTCCGAGGTAGATAATAATCACATCATATCTCGTTTCGAACTTTCGAAGCTGCTTGATGCTATAGAGTGTATTAGTTTCTCTACCTGTGCGAAACTTTTTAGATTATCATAGAGAAATGGGGAGGGTATTTTAACCTATGTCAAACTAATCCCAAATAACTTCCGGCAAACGAAATAGCTCCCGTATATCCGCTAGTGGGTGGATTACATCTTCTCCGAGTTTATATTTAGATTTTAAACTTCTCTGATATGTAAGTCGCCTTTCTGCTTCGCATAAAGTTATTTGCATGTGTAATAGTAGTTGCGGGTGGTTTCGACATGAAATATCAATTTAACTCAGTTTGAAATTCACAAAATATAAGAAACAGCTACAATACGCTATGAAAGGGTTTTTTCTAACCATTACCAAAAAAAAAAAATGCCAGGATGGCCAGAGAAACCAAAAGCTGAAAGAAAATGCGGTCGTAGATGCTAGGAAATGAAACGACGTAGGTGAAATCCAAGTTTTAGAGGGTTAAAAATAATATGTAAAACCTTAGAACTTCATTTTCTTCCTAAAATCGATTTAGCTTTAAAATTTTTGATTGTATTATATTGCCACACTACACTTGTTCTAGGACCATAATTTTTTGGGTTCATTCTTGAAAAACAGCGCGATACATTCACTGTGTGATGTGTGACGTGACTGTCAGAAATGACAAACGTCAAACTCCAATCGTCCAATCGTTAAATCATTAGCAGCAAAAAAAAATACTTCTAATAAAATGGATCGATGCATTTTCTGATGGGAAACCCCGTATTTAAGATCTTTTTCAATAGTTCAAACCGCCAATTTCGCGTCGCATCAACAATGCAAGCAAATGACACCTAATTTCGATGATATGCAACACGGTATATGGTGAAAAATCGATTTTAGCGTGTATCGGCTATCTCAGTTGAATGCAAATCCAGTCGACAAATACGGTTAATAGAAAAGTTGATGAGATTTGAGTTTTCCATGGCTTCCGCTTCGGCGCTGATCAGAATATGGGACCGAAAAAGAAAATCCCAATATTACCTCCGTTAAATTGGAAATTTCTGGTGGTTTGTTGCATATGGTCAATGGTCAATACGTTTGTTTAAGGGAATCATATCGTATTCCGTCATATTTTTTTATTCTCGGTATCTACTATAGAACTGCACACAAAAACTTTCAAATTTTTGTAGTTTGAAAAAATATAGATGCATAGTTTAGAACGGTGTTTAAAGTTTGAATACAAAACTTACATACCGGGTGGTCGAATAAAGTTATTTTTTTTTTAATGGAGCGCCCTATATTTTATTATATTTTTGAATACGAATGGAACGATGTATATAAAAATCTATATATTAGTCTCTAATGCTATTGCCGAACATCTTAGGGATTTAGGTAATGTTCTAAAGGTTTTTATAGCGTTTTAAAACATTTACATAATACTTGTTTTCAGACAATATAAAAAATATTGATTCTTTCTTTTTTATATGTGTATAATAGCTCTTTAAAAAATGAATCCTACGATATATATGAACATTGATCTGAGATGCACCGTTTTGAATTTATCGACGAGTTTTATCAACTCTGAAGCAATATTAACGCAATGAACCTTAAATATGAATCTATAATTTTTTTTAATATACTGTAAAAGTAACATTTGACAAAACTTTTCAAAAAGAAAATTTATAATTCACTAATAATTAACAAATGATTTATTACATTTAATATATAATTGGCAGCATTTAATTGGTTTACTTCAAAACGAAATTGCTGTTGTAATTTCTATGGACTTATTTTTGCATAGTATTTGTTTCAAAGTGCCTCACAAAAAAAGTCCGGCGTCACTATTATCAGCACTTCAATGATAAGCAGCGCCATCTTGTCGCCAAAGTAAATTTGGATGTTTTATTTCAGGAACATTATTCTGTACTGCTAACAATTTTTTTTCACAAATAATTTGCATTAAAATTCTATCTGTCCAAATAATACCGCACCATACTTTAACCGATTTTTTACCGGGTTTAATGGTCTCAACTTCAAAATGTTTATTATTGCTAGAACTCCAATAATGCGTTTTTTTTTTCAAATATGTAATGTTGCTGATGTAAATATAGATTCATCCGTCTAAACGATATTTTGTAAGATGTAAGATGTTATGAACTGTAACCTTAAATTCAAATTCGCTGGTTGTAATTTTTGACCTGGTGTAAACTTAAACGTTTTATAAGCATATATTTTTAGACAATCTTGAATGGTTGTTGTCTTTACATGCAGATCTGAAGCTGCTGGATGGGTGGAGGTTTCTGGATTATCTTCAAAGTGCAGCAGAATATAAAACACTTCGGCGATTAGTCCTTTTATTTTAAACAGTGCCATTCAGGAAATTTGGCTCTATACTATCGTTGAGCAAGGGGGCCGAACTTTTATTATTTGCAATATAAACCTCTCAACTTTTTCTTCTTTTCTATACATTTTCAACTGAGAAAAAATGATTGTAAAGAAAATCTTAAAACTGGAAATATGAATTGTCAAAAATTATTAATATTGCTATGACAACGAGGAACGGCAATTCTTTCAAAGCCTACTAATGCTTTTTTGAAAACACCTCAATGATTAAATGAAATAATATTTATTCATTTATAATAAACGTTTTTTTTTATAATATTAAATGGTATTTGAAATAACCAGCAATTTCATAAAAAAGCATTAGAAACGCTTTCTGAATTAAGCCACAAAGCAAAGAAAAATAACTAATTACGTTAATATTGCCTTCAAATTGATAAAAATCGACAATAAATTCGAAACGGCGCATAACAGACCAGTTTTCGTTGGATTCGTCTTTTAAAGGGGTATCCGAAAATGCAGAAATATGCTTTGATTGAATCTTTGATTTAAAAGAATTGAGGGAAGTGACATTTTATAAAACATTTCAGTAAAAATATTTTAACTTTGAATATTCTTTGAGAAAAGTATTATTTTCAAAAATATGTTACGCAGAAAAACGTTGTCAAAGTTGAAAAACCTTTGTAATATAACATTTATCTAGAAAATATTTGCTAATAACGATACATACTAATACACATCGTTGGATTCGTATTTTTAAGAGGAATTTAAAAATATAATAAAATATAGCTTGTTGACCACCCTGAATGTATTTTAGTGACAATTGAAATTGAATTGAAAAAAATTAAAGAACATTTTACTGGAAACAACTTCAAACTTTGTTTATAACACTCATAGATTTCGAGATAAGGTATTGCCCCTCTTAAACTGGCCACCCAGTACATTAGATTACCTAACTATGTGCCATGAACTTATGCCTTGATATAAATGAAGAATTCAGATTAGTTAAAAGGTGTTCTTCTGTTCAACAGAACAACAGAACAGTTTTAATGAATTCTTCAATGATTTTTTTCTTATATTACCAGGATAAGAAACATCAACAATTTAGGTGACACCTAATTTTCGAGCAACAGGCATGACCCCGTTTATATATTTCAACGCACCACTGTGTGAGACAGTTCGAATTGAATCACTAGTATGGCACGCACAACCACTGATGCATCTTCCTTTAAGTTTATTCCCGTACGTTTCTACTCTGCTGGCAAACGCGTTACATAGAACCAAACCAAGCAATGTATATACTATTTACTGAAAGAGAAGTTTGACCCGCATCCATAATTCAAAAGTTCCGCCAACTTTCCAACGAACTTTTGCTAAGCTAATATTAATGTATCTGCAGAATTACAGGAGGAAACTTTTACAATGTCCCCGAAATGAAGCAAGTCGAGTTTTTTACAAACTTGAATTTGACGTGTATCAATTTTAATTCCAGAGTTTTATTTTTTATTTAATTATTTATAGATTTTTCCGATAGGGATACGGAATAAAAACCTATTTTTTAAGTGAATTTAACCAAAAATTATGGATTTTTTTTATAAGTTTATTAAATTCCTATTATTGCATTTGGAAAGATGAACACTTTTAAGCTTTTAGCTCTGTGTATTTTATGAGAGATATGTAGATATTTCATATTTCTACTTCAGTTTAATTCGGTCCCATGTATTGGGTTGGCAATGATTGGCAATTAATAAGGACATCATAATATAAGGCCAGTTAGTCATCTCTTAAACCCGTGTTAATTATTATAATTTTTACACTTTTCTCTATAGCCCAAATATAGAGTAAAATAAGTTCTTGCCACTCTGGTATAAAAACCGTTCATTATAGAAATCTTGCGGATATTACAGGGCGTCACAAAGGTACGGTCTAAAAAAGGATGATATTTTATTTTATTTATAGGTTCCATGTGTTATTCTCTGTTAAATAATATATAATATCACTATCATCACTATCATCTCAATCTTCAATTTTACAAATTGCTACCTTCTTTTTGTAATACTAACAGCAAAACATTTAAATTTAAATTACGTCTTTATAAATGCTGCACATCGGGGTAGCCACAAAAAAATTAATTTGAAAACAATGTTAAACGTAATATGTTAAAGTAAAATGTAAAATTAATGGTTATAAACATGACCTTGCCTTGCTAACCTTATACTATCTAACATAAAAAGTTTATTGTAAAATATCATAATTTTTCACGTCATACTTTTGTGAAGGGCCTTGAATAATTGTAAATATTTTCAGAGAGTTACGCTATTTATATCAAAACTTATTTTACTCTACCGATATAGGGAGTAACTTTTCTAGAATTTTTCTTACCTGTACAACATCCTTTCCTGCCGATCGGCCTCAACGTAAATCCTATAATACATGAAGATCATGACCATACCGGGTACCCAAAAACTGACACTGGACGATATCACCGAGTATGTTCTGTTCACCACGAAAACGCAAACGGAATGATTACGCTTCCTCCATTCCAAATGTTCACCTGTGGTATACCAACCCATGAATATCGGTAGAAACGACAGCAAAGCTGGACTAAACCACACAATCGTGAGCATCATTATCAGCCTCGCGTTGGTCATGATGAGCGGATAGTCCAAAGGTTGCACAATGGCAAAGTATCTATCAACACTTATACAACACAAGTGCAAAATGGACGCAGTGGAAAAATACACGTCCAGGGAATTCCAGACGTCGCACATGAAATATCCGAAAATCCATTGTCCGTTTGTTATTTCGACGCTGAAGTTGAAACACATCGCCCATATCGCGACCAACATGTCCGCTAAAGCTAAACTTACCACGAAATAGTTCGTTATAACCCTAAGTTTTCTGTGCCGCATCACTGACACTATTACCAGCAGATTACCGAACAAAGCAGCTACGATTATCAACGCCATTACCGTTGTTTTCAGAGCGATCAGGAAAGTCCACGGACGTAACCATGTCTTTTGAACGGTCGCCGAATACGACGACTGATTCGACATACGTTCGAATTCGGATTCGTTAAACATGGCCGATATATTCGCAATACTACTTTCGGTCGCCGTTTCGGTTGATATGAAAAACTCGTCCATTTTGATGCCGTCAGATTTCTAGCAGTTTCGAGAATTTCAGTAACGTTTTCATGATTAAATAGCTGACTCGTCTGAAACAAAAAGAAAACCTTTTTTATAGACAGCATCTTCTTTACGAAACATGGGGTTTTTGTTTATTGGAAAACTACAATTTACAATTTTGTAAAATGGAAACAAATTGGTGCCTTTCTGCTATTCTTTCTCATTAACAAGGGACGATAGCCGAACCTATGGGTTTTTTGGCACTACTACTGGTGCAATTCGCAGAGTTATACAATTGTTAGATGCAGCATCACACCAACCTCCATTCGCGCCTTAAAAACCAAACCACACCAACGTGTCCAGACCTGTGGTTGGTATGTTCAAAAATCTCTGGCAAAATCAACCCGCGATTGTGGTAGTGCAAGTGAAACATTACCACAATGAGTATCAAAATTGTCAATGTTCCAAAATAATCTACCGCTACTACTGTTGCTTGATCTGACTGAATGAGAAGCAAAGAATGATTATCTTTTTTATATCTAGTTGTAGATTGTAAATATTAAGAATAAATCTGCGAGTTTGAACATGTAAAGCATCAGGGATACTTGGATTCTCTTAAGATTCACTCACTCAAACATTCAAGGAAGAAGGATAATAGTATATTATGCAACAAGTGCGGTAAACGGCGTTTAACTCACACAAGCGGAGCGAGCGTTTAATAAACTAGTGACTTAAAAACTTTACCGAACGTGTTGCATACTATACTCTTTCTACGACCGTTAGTTTTTGGGTACATTTTCGCAAAACAACACGAATACATTTCACTGACATGACGGTCAGAATTGACAAACGTCAAAATTCAAGGCGTTTTAAATATCTCCGAAAACGTCCGATTGCTCCCAAACCTGTGCGGTAAAATCCCGGAAATGTACGAAGTGGCTCGGATCCGTGGGAAACTAAACTGACGGGGTAATGTCACGCTTCCCGCACACTAAATCGATGTGTAGTTAGGCATTTTACAGAGGGGAGTAGAAAAACTAATTTAATTCTGTTTACTTTAATAGTCATTCAGTAACACTCATATAGAAGCAAACAGTGTATATGCGCAGATGTCTCTACAATAGAACAATAAAAAAAAGAAACCGTTACTGTTACAACTCAAAAAACAACGAATATTTATCCCAGTGTCTATATTATCAATATTTTCTGCAGGTGGTATACTTGTATACGAATGGGAACCGACGCATCCAGATTTAAATATCACATTGCTTGATAACTCTACATTCGGTGTAAATCACATCATCACCCCAGCGGTTAATTACAAATTGGCGCCCTACAAATTACTTTAACCGTTGCATGTCGAGCCGTGGGTGTACAGTTTAAATATTTTATCCCTGATGTTAACACTGGCAATGTGACATTAACTATACCGGGACCTCTCTATTATCAATAATTTCGTACAAGCTTTGCTAGGTTATTACTTCCAGACGATTTTTTTTTGGGATCAGACAATACCCGTCCTTCATTCTATTCGCCTTAAGTTGCGGATGAGCTATTTCTCAAATTCTTAAAAAAAACAATTGACGTTTTTTAATTTAATTCAGAAACTTTATCGAGAAAACATTTAAGTAAAAAAGTAAGTTTGTAAAACACTGGCTGTTCAGTTCTTAACACCTGTACTCGATTTGGGGTATCCAAAAAATATAGGGCTAATATCATTGGGGTCTACTAATTAGATCATTCATGTGAGGAATTTGCAACTAAAAGCATAAGGTAGAGAAAATTTTTCTTCTTGCCATAAGGTGGTATATTGTTCGGTACATACATTTTCCATCAGATGTTTGTTCCTAGCTATTCTTAGAATTTGCTAAACAATGTTGGAAGAACTTCAAGAAAAAAGTTGTTTGCATTCATTTATACTTTTAAAATTTGTTATCATTTTCCTGGACAAATAATAACTATTTCCCATTTCAAATAGAACACCAAATAATTTTTGAATTCTTCGGCAAATTCTAGATACATTTCACATACAGGGTGGTTTCTAATTAAATTAAAATAAGTAGGCGATTTTTGGGTCAGCAGTTTTAATGAAATAACATAACATCCTAACAACAAACGATTCTTATTACAAAGAAAACACTACGTACTATTAATAATTTTTAACAAAATTTTCCTTTAATATTTTTGAAAAAAAATTGGAACTAGATTGGTTGTTGTTGTTTCCTATTAAATCGCAGGAAGCTCTTATACGAACCTTCAGCCCTTCTACCCAGATTTTTAAGATGGCCCCATAAGAAAAAGTCCAAACTATTTAAATCTGGTGACCTACGGGGCCATGGTTGAGGTCTGCCGGGACCTACCCATCGGTTATTAAATGTGTGATTTAAATGTTCTCTTACTGTAACACTAAAGTGAGCAGACGCGCCGTCATGCGTGCACCACATTCTGTTCCTAATTAAATATGGTACTTCTTCTAGCAATATTGGCAAATCCTCTTCTAAAAACCGGCGATGCTTATGACTTTTCGGGCAGGAAAAACGGCCCAATTAAGTAATTTCCAACAATTCCAGTCCAGACATTGACCGAAAACTGTTCTTAATGTTTTCATCGGCCCAAATATGGTTATTGTGGAAATTTCTGATTGTATTTCTGGAAACGTTAGCTTCATCTGTAAATAGTATTTCTTGATCAAACAAGAGATAATGTGCAATTTTGTCCAAAAACCATTGACTAAAATTAACATGCAAGGGAAAATCTCTGGGAATTAACGCTTGGATTTATTGAGTATGATATGGATACACTAGAAAATTGAACTGAGGTGGCTTTTACTTGATGAAAATCCATTTATAAAAATAAATAAGAACTAAGAGTTCAGATTTTCACGAAATTATATATTTTGATCAAATGCCCATTTGATAAAGACACCGTTCTTATTTATTTTGACAATAGAAAATCGTGCAAAATTTTGCAAATCAAACGTGCGAGATATTCAGATTATTTCCAATTTTACTAGTACTAAGTTCAGAATTTTCTTCAATAGAATTTAGAACTGCTTCTTCAATTTCTGGAGTTCTTTGGAAGACAGTTTTTGATACCTTAATGCCACGTAACTTAGTTATTTCTTATTGTTATGGTTATTTAAATACAAAAAAATGATGTTCTTTTTTTCTTGTTCTTCTTTTTTTTGTTATAAAAATTTATATTATTATGTATAATATGTATAATATTTTTCCTGAAATTTTCAAATTTATCTATTATTCATGTTTCTTGTAGGTTTTTGTTCATCTGAATACTTTTCATCAAATATATAAACGTTTTTGATAAAATTCATTAATTTTTTTAGACATGAAATGAACACAAAAACTTTTGTGTTAATATAGTACAAAAAGATGTGAAACGACGGTAAATAGTATGTGCATTTCTTTAGTACTCTGTTGTTTTATCTCCCTGACATTTTTCGTCGTTATGTTCTTGCTCAGTTAAACATTTTTACAAATGCAATTGCTGTTCATTTTTCGAAATAAATTTTTTGAATTAGGAAACCTTATACAAAGTCGCCATTTTAAATCCCAAATATGCTAAAATTAAAAATTTAAACAGTTTTTTTGTTTAATTTTTTAATGTTACGTTTTGTATTTATTTAATTAGAAAAAATTTGTAGCCCAAATATGTAACAATAGTAGAAATCGATAGATATATTTAGACCTGCAAACGCATAAACTTCAAAATAGGACAGAAACGACTTATATAGTTACGTTATTGTATACAAAATATATCGAGAAATTTCTGAGAAATTTAAAAATACAGAGTGTGTTTTATTTAAAAAAAGAAAATTGTTACTTGGTCACGAAAGTACAAGGAAGTAATTTTTGCCTTTAAGTTTTTTTTATATTTTTTACAGAACCTGCACAGAACCTTACGAGATAATTGGGTAAAGTTCAATTTAAGTGATTGAGCATCTAATTTGCGATCGATGCTTGCAGAACCAGAGAAGTTTTAACAATGACAATTTTGCTCCACAATGGAACAAACGAATTTCGTTCTCCAATAGCAGTATTATATGCGTAATTATCTTGACTCGTAAGGAGTTCTCCAGCAGTCAAGACTCTTCGTCGGGCTCATTAAACATCCTAACACCGAGACGTCTGTGGTTACATTTTGGCAATCAAATTTATAATGCCTACAACGTAACGTGATACCGCGGCTTTCGTTTTGTTTTGAAAAAAAAAGTTATTTAAAACTTCGTTTATAATTTATAACTTTTTAAACCCGCTTTTCTTTTCAAGAAACTCGGCGGTAGACGTCGACCCAAATTTTCATATTCGCCTTTTTTCAATTAAAAATTTCAACTTGATGTTAAAAACTTTGTTAATTTCAGGAACACGCGAATTTAATTGTAGCGAAAATAAAACGAAATTAAAGCTAAAACGGGAAACGTAGCTAATGTTTTAAAATTCTAAAATGCGTCAACCGGCCACCGGAGTTTGGGAATGTCACCACCGACTAAGAGGGTATAAATTATTCATTCCTTAAGCTACATTATTTATTATCAATTCGCTAACCGAGTGGAAATTTAGCAGGAAAACTAGCCAAATGCCAAACCATTTAAATAAAAGAATGTCTTAAAATATCTTCTTTTTCTATTTTAACTCAACTTCTGACCAAGCTAAAGTTAATTGATTGCAAATACAGCTTTATGGTTTATAGGGTAGCCAAATTGATTCCAAACAAGGGTACATTAAAAGTTTAACTCAAACATATGTTTCTAATAAACCAAATCAACTATCCCGATCCTTTATCCATTTTTTTTTGTTTCTAACCAAATGACATTGTTTCTTCCGTTTTATATTTGTTTTTTGCGAAATCGCTGAAATCAACTGGCAAATAGGCTATTTCTGACACTTTTAACTTTTAAAACCAATACTCGTCTATCACACAAAGTTCCTGTATAAAATTATAAATGTTTAAGGAATGAATTTGCTATTGCGTTTATCCATTTGAAATGATAGTTCCAGGAATTGCCGTTATAGTGCCACAATTCCTTTTTGGTTTAAACAGAGCGCCTGAAAAATGGAGTTCTTTAAATCCCAGCACTTGACGTGTACACAGTACGGAAAAATAAATTATCCTATCCTTTTAGCTTAGAGCCGCGTGTCATTTATATCTCGGCATATATAAATCTGTGGAGCTACAAAAAATATTCGTCTATTAAGAGTTGATTTTATACTTCCGCATTGGCGTAAACATTCAGAATAAGTAATTGATAATATGGTTAGGAGTGGATGTGGATGTAATTTAGCGTGAAACATAAGAAATGTAAAGGAAACTTTTATCAACGCCTCCATTTTTTTCGTTATTAATATTATAATCGCTAATAATAAATTCCGCGAACCCATGAAATATTTCATGAAAAACGGTAATACAATGATATGAATTACTCGCAAATAACTACTATCGTGTTTGCATTCTCAAGGTCCATGGCGACGAATATAAGATATAAAATAAATGCAACACAATGCTTACCACGACTATTAGTTGAAATGAATAGTTTGCACATTTTGTTAATAATATTTGCATTCTTTTGCCATTGTTACGCAGAAGATGACCCAAAATGTCAATATGGCACATTCAGTTGTCCGGCACGACCCGTTTCTTGCCCTGTAAACCAAACTTTTGTTCCGACAGGGCCTTGCTCGTGTGGCTGTCCTCTTTGCAAACCTATTCCCCCATTAAATAGTAAGTAAAGTGCTCCACAATTTTTATTAGTATGAAGAGGACAAGATTGATGATGCAGGAGATTTGCTTTGATGATGTAATTACATTGATTCAAAAATCATTATGAACCATATTAAGAAAAGAGGAAAACAAAATCCTTTATCGAAAGAGTTATGCTTAGTTTCAGATACTTAGGATGGCCGGAATAGGTTTCCTTACTTATATTTTAAAGCTAATGGCTAATGAAATTCTTTAATTACAGGTATTGGATCGCCTTGTGTCACTTACATTATTCGAGATGTTCCCTACTCTAATTGCGAAAAAGGATTGCGTTGTTGTGACAAAGTGTGCGTCAAACCGGAATACTGTTGCAAGGAACAAGCCTCTTCAGTGCAAAACACCACGGAAGACGTTTAATTGATTTGATTTGATTGTTTTTTTTTGTTATTTTATTGTAATTAGTTCGATATATAATCGACAAATATATTTGGTATTTTAAAAAATACAGCGTTTTATTAAAATTAATCAGTTCCTTAACAATTTTTAAAAGACATTGATAAATGAAGCTCGTCTTATGCTTTAGAATGAGCCAGAAAGTCATGATTGAAAGCTTTACCTTCTGCCTTGGAGAATTGTTTGATGATTCATTCTTTCGACGTCAACGTATGGTTGAAATAGTTGATCAATTTGCCCTCCACAGGAAAAGTGTACAGCATTCGGCTTTACCCAGGTTGATATTATCAAACGGTTTCTTATTTCTCCAAATACTTCAATTCAACTTGAACCATTGGGTATAACCGTCACTTCTAGAGATGGAATATGAATAGATAAAGTAACTCTGATACGATAAAAGGATGGAAATCTCTTTCTTGGAACTTGAGATGGCATTGTAAGTGAAATGTCGAAAAAAAATCCTAAAATTTTCTTTGGAGATGGTCGTGGGACGATAAAACTTAGTTTTTAATGTTTTTAATCGCTAACAAATAGCAACAGAATAAACAAAATGTTTTGTTACTCAAAGCGTTAGTATCACCAGACAAGGAAAGTGACAGATTCAATTTAGAGTAGTTATTTGAGTCTTACTTTTAGGTTAGTTAGTTGATCTAAAAGAGTATATTATGCATCAAGCCTGATAAACTCCATTTTAGTCACGAGCTGGTTTTTATAAGTATTTTATTCAGTAAACACGTAAAAAAAAAAGGAAATTCCTATAGAATTTAGCAAACATTGAGTATAAACTAGTTTTTTTAGAACACTTTGCTGATTACAATTGTATTCCAGAACATCATTTATGAAGATCTGACCTACATTTAAAACCATATATACTGAAATCGAGTATTCAGTTTGCGAGAAAATTAACTTTGAGTTGAACCAAATGTGTGCATTAATTTTGATGCGAACTTTATTTGCTTGAAATATCTCTCTCTATATCCTTCAAATATCAGTAGCTGTCTCTGTTAAACATAGGATTGTTTGATATTAAATTCAGCCTTTTTCATGTACCAAGCTCATAGTGGTATGTGCTAAGCTATGAAGTAACATGCAAAAATTATTACACTGTCCTACCAATTTCGTCTAGTTTAGAAAAAAACTGTTGTGTGTTACATGAATAATTACGCTATGCTCCTTGATTCTATACATAAATTTTAATTAATACCAAACGCTTTGAAGTGGTCATTCCCGCTCGATTAATTATTTTAATGGCCGCTTCAGCGATGCTTTTAGAATGCTTGACACTTGCAGTTAGCGGTGGGCTTGCCAGAATTTAAGTCGGTTAACGGTCTCGTTAAAATCGAATCAGAACACAATTTTGCGATTGTGGAACTACCACACTTTTGCCAATAGAATTTTAAATGTAATCACGTTTTGTGGGCGATCGGGGTATTACAGGATAATTACTGATCACTTTGTTGCATTTAATTAGCGCGTGGGGAGATAATTTTGAAACACCTGTGGGAATATAATTGAGGTTCAATTTTGGGATTAATGTGGTGTGGCTTAAATAATTTCCGTTTCATGCACACTGGACCCTTCGCACTCACTGATAATATGACCGAAATTAACCAAAGAAGTTCTCCGTTGATCAAAAGAGGGTAAAATGTCACTTCTAGCCAGTTTCGCTACCTACGATGGTGTACAACTTCCGACATTTCCGGTACTTTAGTCACGGATAGTATTTTGACTAATGGTAGTAGAGTGGTATCCCTAGTAGTTGATAAACTTGAGTCAGTCGATTATGAAACTTTTTGCATAACAAGCTACTAGGAACACTTTCATTTAAAAGTTATTAGTTTTACTACATTGCCATTAATGTTCTTAATGTTTCTGAAATTTATTGCTTAGTGGTTCTCGATGGGAATACAAAAATAGAAAATTATTTATATTAAAATATTATAATAATTATATCTCTGCTTTTGTAGTTATATACGTATATAGACGTAATTATATAATTATATTACTACTGAAAAGGGTACCTCATATAGATATAATTATATAATTTCACTCATACTTAAAATCGTGATCTTATAGGTATAATTATGTAATAAATAATACAATTGTAATAGAAAAGCTTATAGTTAATATTAAACAAAAAATACAACCATAACATTGTTAAAGTTTGTCATCTATTACAACTTGAGTGGTCCTCTACAGTGCTTTGCATTCTTAGCGGAAGCAAAATACTAAATAATTATTATTTCTCCTCCAGAATTCAGCTGAATTTACATTTCTCTTTCGAATGGTAACATATTTTCATGCAATTTTTCTAATTCAGAGTTCGAATAAAGTAAAAGAAATAAATGACTACATTTTCAATGCACTTTGTTCGAATTTAATAATATTACATACTTATTTTAGCGAAAAACAGAATTGACAGTTTTAGTTGAAAGGAATCGGTTCATAGATCATAATTTTAAAATGTTAATAGAAACACACGATCTTCCTGCACCAAAATATATTTTAAAAGTTCATCATCAGCAATATCAGAAGCACATAGTACTGAACTGTTTTCAGTGTTATGTAATAAACGTTTCAGTTAGATTTTGTCATCCAGGAAATTCAATTTAGTTTCAGCAGTTTGAAATAATTCAATAAACTTTTCCTTTACCTTGGAATGGTTAAAAGCATTTTTGGGGTGGAAGACTATTAATTCATATTCATGTACCACTATTATGAGAATACTAGAGTATGGCAGTTTTTTTTGTTGACTGCCTTTTTATCATTTCGATATAGTATCATTCAGAAGTCCAGTCATGTGCTCTTTGGGAAGCTTTAGACAACACTACTTGATCTCATATTCGGAATTGGATATTTTTAAGCCTTGAATTCATGTTTCAATCAGATGATTGACACTATCATTAGTTTGCTAGTTAAGTGATTGAATGGAGTTGAATCTTGTAAGCTACTACTTAAACTGAAGAGTAAAATTTAATAAATGATATTATAGATTATATATTAAATAGAGTCTTTAATTTCATTTAATTTTCATAAACTAAATCGGGAAACAGCTGTCAAAAATTAAACGTTTCAATTTGTATTTAAACCACCCACTGTCAACGGAGTGTACAAAATGTTTTTCTTGATCCGCCAGATTAACATTTTTAAATATTTTTCACAAAAAAAAACCTTCGGCAAATCCCCAAAACACGAACAAAACCCGTTAAACAATTGTATTTTTGCCGCTGGTATTAGTTATTCCCGGCGTTCGCCGTTGTTTCGAATCCTTGAAACATAATATTTAGTTGTGATCGCGAGTTAAATAGCGTTCAGACGATACGAATCCGTTTAGCAGCGTTTTTTGATAAACATAGCGTGTGACATTTAACACGCACCTGGTAACAGCTCCAGCATGAAGCTTTATTTTGTTGTGATGATTTCGTTCGTGGGATTTTTTTGTATCGCACGAGCAGATGACGATATTAGGTGTAAAGGTATTGCATTTCGATGTATCCCTCCGCCAGAAACTTGCCCCGAAAATCAAACATTAGCGCCAGGCACTTGTTCATGTAGTTGCCAAACATGTAGACCGGTACCCGCTGTTGGAGGTAAGTTAACATTTTTTCAGCTAATGCCATTTAGCGAACAGCAGAAATTTGCGATTTCGTTGCTTAATATCGTTTGATGAGTTTACGAAGTACTCTGATAAATTGCAATATAGCGTATAACATTTTAAAAATCTCTCGTTATAGATCAATACGTGACATTATGTAGGTCCCAAAACGAATTTTCAATCAATCAAATAAACATTTTTCGTTTCAGGTGTTGGATCACACTGCGTTGTGTTCAATATTAAAGGGCTGCCAACTTCTAACTGCGCAAAAGGGTTTGTGTGCTGTGACAATTTTTGCGTGAAGCCAGAACACTGTTGTTGAATTTGACTTCGTTATTCTTTTGATGGAAACTAATTAAATTCAAATTCTTAAAAGTATGCTGTGCTTTGAAATCGTTAATTGTTTTTGTTTAATTAAATTTTCTGTTTTATCAAAAATATGTTCATATAGATTTATCAAAATTAAAAATAAATATTACAACCCGACAAGGACTTATTCATTATTTTGATATTTTTGATGGGCAAAAAATTTTATGGATTGAAAATCGCGTTTCTCACGTACCTAATTTATGAAACTAACAGAACAACAACTACTAGTTTATCTCGGTTTTGATCAACAAAAATTATAAATGTTACGAGATATTCGAAGACATGGAATCATGAAATGGCCTTCGTTACAATACTTTGGTTAGAATTTCTTTTTTCTTGGTTTATAGGATAGATTAATTTCTCACGTCCAGAGAATACCTTTTGCCGATCTCTTCGTTGAAACAAGAATTTTCAGATATGCTTTCGCACAGCGATCAAAAAATGGATATTCCGTGAAGGACACATTTTTCTTTTCTTCTGCTTTTTTAAGATGGCAATGTTGCGAAGCAAATATATAAGTCAACGTTTCTCGATAAGCGGAATAATTATACGTTTTTACTTGGAAAAATTTAATTATCATACAAAAATAACTCGGAATAGAAAAACGCTCTTTATCGGTTACTAAGCGTTTTTAATGTAAAACTTGAAAATTACTTTACACTTGCCGCTTAACCAGAATACTTTACTGATTAACTTTCCGTGTTTAGTAAAATCTAATATATGTTGAAGATGAACAGCATAGTGGTTCTACTTTTCACATTGGTGGTGTTCAATTTCATAAACGCAGCTGATATAGAATGCAGGGGAATCAAATTCAAATGTGAACCATTCGCACTGTTTTGCCCGGTAAACCAGACTCTGGTTCCGGAGAAATGCTCATGCGGCTGTACTAGGTGCGAACCCAATCCCCCTTATGGAGGTAAGTCATCGTAGCAGATCAATGATAGAAAATAAATTAATAACAAAAATGTTCCTAAAATCGATGCGTTTTTTAATCATGGCCATACAGAAAATATCCATTTTAAATCTTTATTTAAGCTTTTTTTAATTATTATGTTAAATATTTGAAACCTTATTCTACCCAAGAGTTGAATTGAAGTTTACAGAACGTCACAAACAGCAATATTTTAATCGGTTTTTGATTTCAGGTGTGGGATCGTCTTGCGTAAATACCATTGTTGCTGGGAGACCAGCAAATAACTGCGACGCAGGTCTAGCTTGCTGTAACCATTTTTGCGTGAGGCCGGAACATTGCTGCTAAATTGTATTGTAGTGTACTGTTGCTCGTAATAAACGAAAGCTGCTTACAACGTTACTTATTTTTAACATAATACACCGAAACTTTTTTTTTACTAAAAAAAATGTTTCCCCATATAAATATCGATATTAATAATTAAGTTTCAGTTTTATCGAAAAGTAATTATTTATCAAAATTAATGTTGCCCCTTCAAAGTAATCCCCCCCTCCCCAGATATAATACACTTCAGCCAACGTTTTTCCAATCCTCGAAGCACTTCTGGTAAGTACTTTCTGGTATAACCTTGAATTCTTAAAGCGATTTTTTTTTATTTCATCAATAGTTTCAAACCTCCTTCCTTTCATGGGTTTCTGGAGTTTTGGGAACAGCAAAAAGTCGCAGGCGCAATATCTGGTGAATATAGTTACTGAGGCATGATTCCGGTTTTGTTTTTGCCCAAAAAGTTAGACACAAACAACGATGCATGCACAGGTGCATTATCGTATTCCAAAATTTATGAATTGTTTTCCCACATTTCGGAGGTTTTCTTCGTATTGCTGTTCCCAAACGGCGCATAGCTTCAAGGTAATACTCTTTATTAACAATACGACCTTGTGGTCAGAACTCTTGATGTACTACGCGACGATAATCAAACAAAACAGTTAGCAAAACCTTGACATTTGTTAGAACGTAATGTGCTTTTTTCGGTCTTGGCGATTCTGGGTTCTTCCATTGCGACGACTGGGCTTTAGGTTTCGACGTCATAATCATATACCGAAGATTTTATTCAAAATTAAGCAGTTTCGGGACAAATTTTGCTGCTACACGTTTCATGTCCAAAACCAATAGAGATGCCGACGTCTTCAGCCACTTCGCTAATAGTGATTCGACGATTTTTCAACACCGTTTGTTTCAATTCTTCAAGGTTTTCATCAGTTATTGACGTGCTAGGACGTCCACAGCGAGATTCGTCATCGGCGTCTTCTCGGCCATCTTGGAACATCTTGTACCACTTATAAATATTTTTTTACAGCACTGTATTTCATTTTTAACACAACATTTTAAGCAAATTTTTTGTTTCATTTCAGAAAATCACCAAGCACACAATATACGTCTAACGCATCTGTCGGACAAAAAAAGTAACCTTTCAAATTGACTGAAACTGTGAACATATGTTAGGGACATGTGTACCAACATAACAAAAAAATATATATCGAAGATCGAATGCACGTAGCCCGCCCAATTACAAAAGCCAGCTTACTTTTTGAAGATAGCTTGTATATATATTTAAAAAAAAAGGATAACAACATTTATCAACATAACAACAACAATAACAACATCAATCTATAATTTCGGAATTTTTACATTAGCATTAAGTACGTAGAAATAATGTCTTTTGACAACTCTAGCTATAATTAATATTTTGGTAAAGAATTTTCGTTATTAACAAATTATTTTTAAGAAAAAAATGATTTTTTTTTAACTAAAAGTAACTTTTGCAATATTTGCACCAAGACAGTCTTCATGAGTCTTTGCAATATTTGCACCAAGAATAAAACTGACCGATACTGAATTCACAGTGTTCAAAATGAGGCACCAGCATTAGACTACAGTAGCAATATAAACAACGAGTATTATTATCGGCACTTGATTTAATTAATATATTTATAATATATAATATTTATAATAATTGGGAAAAGCCGACGAAATGAAGGTCTTAGCATATTATTCAGATGATATGTTGGATTTAAGATCATCTGAAGATTGTATATTTCGATAGAATTACTTCTTAAAAATCATTTATACAAAAAATGTGAAAACAGTATTGTGTATGTATCAATGTATATACATGTATTCTTAATTATATCTATTTACTAATCTTATTAAGGTTTTTAATCGAGCAAAAAGTTTTATTTCCATAGGTAATTATGTGTTTAATAATATAATATGCACATGTAAGATATAACCCTATGTTCTTTCAAATGAAAAATGTTTTTTTGTAGTTCTCTCATGAATTCATTACTTAATTTTCAGATACCCTTTATACAGTTATTGTTAATTTTTATTTATTTTTTTTTAAATTCACGTCCGCTCTTTGATGACATATATATTTCAACCACTTAGAAAAATAACAAACAAAATATAAAAGTAAAATGCTAAAAAAAACAAAAGGCGGAGCGCAGCTTAATAAACGAGTGACTAAAGAAGGTTATCAATGTATCAACTTTTGCTGAGACCATTAGCTTTGACGTGATACTCAGAATTAGCAGATGATGGCTAAAATCCACTGAACACATCCGATCGCTTTCAAACCGTCCGTGGGTAACGAACCTGACGTCTTTATTTCGAAGTAAATCTCTAATCGTGATATAAATATTCAGAAAGTTTCTGAATTGACATTCTTCTAAGACTTATAAAAATAAATAAATAAGTGTTCCTATTTACAAAACTTCTGGATTTCTTTCAGTTTCCTGAAACTGAAACTATAGTTTCAGGTAAGTTCTTAAGAAGCCAATAGGATGATTGCCGAAACGTCAGCAAGTTCGATTCAAAAACAACCGATGCAGGAGGAATCCAAAAGTTTTTATAAATAGTATTACAGTAGCCTGTGGAAGTTGCTTTGAAATATTATGGAGAAATGGTACCTAAATCTGTATATGCTTTTTAATATGCTTAGCATGAGTGTTAAATGTCTGAAAAGTATCTAACAAAATTAGTTTTCAAGAAATCATTCATTTAATATTCGCTGACAATTTTTATTGATTCCGTATTTGGTTTGTCTCTCTCATTTCTTATGATTATTAATCGCCAAAGCTTACTGACAAGATATTTTATATATATTATAGAAGGCTCTGCAAAGGGCATTACTAATTATAAATGTTAAGAGAGGTTTTACCTCAAAGATATCGAATCTTAAAACTATACCCGCTGCAATATCCTCATTTAAAAATAAAGGTATGGTTTATACAGAAATACTCAGATTTTTTAAATATACATATATGCTTTCATAGCATCGTGATATTTTGCTTAAGGGGTGATATTCCGGAAAAAAATTTCATCCGTGGATCCCCACACGAAAAAAATTCTAATGGAATAAAAATTGAATGTAAAAACTAATTTTAATAGTCAGGGGACAATATTAAGAAAACTAAAAAAAAAATTACAAATTATTTTCAAAAATGTTCAAAACACACATTTTTGTTTTGTTCTGCTTTTTTCAAGACGATAATGCCAAGAAATATATGAGTCGTTTCTCGATAGGCGGAATTTATGTTTTTCCGTGGAAAAAATAATTATCCAAAAAAAAACGCCGCTTATCGGTAACCAAGGGTTTTAATAGAAAACCTTGGAAATTACTTTACATTTGTCGCTTAATCAGAACAGACTTTACTGATATAGAATTAATATATTATATAAATAACTACAATTTGAAGTCATATAAGTTATATTTCTACCTCTGGTAAAGTCTAATACGTGTAGAAGATGAACAGCGTACTGGTCCTACTTTTCACGTTGACACTGTTCAATTTCATAGACGCAGCTGAAATAGAATGCAGGGGAATCAAATTCAAATGTGAACAATCCCCACGGTCTTGCCCGGTAAACCAGACTCTGGTTCCGGAGAAATGCTCGTGCGGCTGTACTAAGTGCGAACCCAATCCCCCTTATGGAGGTATGAAGCAGTGTGAACTAAAAGAACTTATTACCCAACAGCCTGCTACCAATAGCGGAATAAATTATTAACATTTTTTTTTATAAAATCGATGAGAGATTCTTACAGGAAATACCAATTTTAAATTTTTATTTAACATTTTTCTTATTCTTATTATATTAAATACTTCATGCTTGCTATATCGACTATTTCAAACCTTGTTGTGACTGACGTTTCAATGCAACGTCAATTCATAAACAGTAATATTTTAACTCGTTGTTGATGTACTTTGATTTCAGGTGTGGGATCGTCTTGCGTAACTCCAATTGTTGCGGGGAGACCAGCAAGTAACTGCGACCCAGGTCTAGCTTGCTGTAACCATTTTTGCGTGAGACCGGAACATTGCTGCTACATTTTACCTTAGTGTACCGTTGCCAGTAATAAACGAAAGCTGCTTACATCGATCCTTATTTCTAATATCCTACATCGAAACTTTTGTTAAAGAGCATATTATGTTTCATCAAATAAATACGGAAAATGTTAATAATACTGCCTACTTCAACCCACAGTTTTCAACCCACTCTTTCTCTTTATCGACAACAGACGTTGAAGGAATTCATCTTGTATTCCAAAGTGGCGGTCGTGTTTCAGACAAGAGACTGAAGATGAACATGAAACAAGAAATTCATTCTATTCTTCAGAATACAAAAATCAAGGATTGTTTTAAAAGAGAGAAAAGGAAACAGGCACGTACTGGACATGGCTATAATCCATTTCTATCTACATTTAATCTACTTATTCTATATCATAAAGATTGTGGTCCAAAATAAGCCCCTAGTGTGGGCACTTTGAAAAATAGTTTGCTTTTGAAATCCGAAATAAAAATAAAAGGTCCCTATATAATTATGAAAAATAATAAGGAGATGAACAAAGAATTTTCGGAAATGTCATGTAAAATCGTTAAAATTTCTTATGGAAATATACAAAAATATTGTCTTTTCAGTTTTTGATCTGAACTGGAGTAGAAAAACGTTGTCGCGGATTATAAACGTTGGAATAGGATAGAATAGAATATCATTTATTTCGCTACTTCACTAATACACCGAAATATTGTAAATTCATGATCAAGTCAATAAAAAAAAGAAAATATACATGTTACAACCTTAATATAAGTGCATAATTCAAAAGTGAAGGATACAAAGCAATTTCTGCATTTTCATCATGGTGCGCATTACTTTTTTCTGCTATTTCGAATGCTAAAATCCAGATCCAGAGTCCGAAGCATAAAACATTTAGAAATTCATTTAAGACCGTTTCCCACAAACTTTACATTATAAAACAATTTGAACTTTTTTTATTATTTAGGAAACTAAGTTTTTGATCTAGTTTTATTCGTAAGAAACTGGTGCTTTCTACATTTGCAATAGATGTCTCCTCAGTTCTTAAATATAAGACGTTGTTGTATAGTCCTGTTTATTACACAAAATTGTTAAATTTGTGACTTGAACCATTTGTCATTGTCATCACACCATTCCTCACAATTGAAAAGCATCCGTTTGCGGCTCGTGTTACCTCAGATTTTTGTTACGATCACATTTGAACCGTCAGGGTTATTTCAGGTCAGGTCAGGTCGTAAGTTTGGCCGTAGCCTTAACTTGGCAAACACACTGTCTCCACAACAGGGCACCACAACTGGGCCATAGCACCAGAACAACCAGTAGCCAAAATGTATTCATAATGAGCTCGTCCCTCTGTAGCGGTTAAGGTTATAGGCAAATTATTTAATCCAAATATTTGTCAATTATACTTACTGACTTGTCGTTAGATTATATTTCTCACAAGAAAAAGCATATGACGATTAGAAGTAATTTTAACATTATATATTATTTTCCTAATTGTACCTACTAACTTATTTGACGTTTTACAATTTAGGGTGTATCATATTCTTAGTTATTATTGTTAGTGACCGCCAAAGCTTGCTTGCAAAATACCCGTTAGTGTTGTTAGGGTTAGATTACGGGATAAACTCCGGCTGATATTACAGACGTTTTCGCCTGAGGAGCGGTTGTTATGGTTCTATTGTGACTAGACTGAGAACATTGAAGAAACCACCAGCAATGCCTTGAGAGTCTAAAGCAGGGGTGGCCAACAGGTCGATCGCGTCTGTTAGTTCAGTCGATCGGGGCAAGGCAAAAAATATAAATGCGTAGACCAGACTGCTCCACGTAATCACCTACTGCTGGACGCATCATCTTGTATAATTTTTCAATTGCTGTTCCGTCGCGGTATTTATCCTCTATTTTACGCAGTACAGTCTTTTGTTTTCGGCGCGCGATGACCAATAAGCGGGAAGCGTGTGGAACGCGGGGGAGGGACGAGAGGGTCTCAGTCAGTCAGCTGACAGTTTACGACAGAAACTACGACGTTTTAACGATTGTTCGATTGTCGACGTAAATCACGATTAGATGGTTCATTGATCAAAGTGATATCTATGAATTGGCTACAAAATTTGCAGATACATTTCAAATGGAGCACCTGATGTTACAAAATGAAATTATTACTCTGCGCTGCGACATATTTCTTAAAACAAAGACATCCTCAGGTCAAGATTTCTGGGCATTGGTTTCTAACGAAAAGTATCCAGATTTGAAGAAATGTGTTGAACAACTTCATTCTTGTTTTGGTTCAACATATTTATGCTAGTCGGCATTTTCCTACTTCAAGCAAACAAAAATTAAACACCGTTCTCGCTTGACAGACGCTCATACATTGGACTCTTTAAGGTTGGCAATCTCCAACTACCAACCTGATTATGCTAAACTAGTGGAAGATACTCAGACGCAATGCTTACACTAATATAATATGTAAATAAGTAGTTAGTATGTATAATTTTGACATTTATGTTTTTTCTCTTAATAAAATAAAAAAATGCTACATGATTGTGTACTGAACTATGCTGTTTTATTTAACATTTCTAGAAGTATCTACCAATTACAGTAGATCGCACAGGGTCTCGTTAGTGATCAAGAGATATTGGGTCCAATCAAGTTGACCACCTCTAGTTTAAAGGATGATGATCCACACTTACTATTAACACTTATAGCCCTGGTGTTTTATATAAACGCCGCCTAACGGAACCGTATGTCCTAAAAGAATTGGACCTGAAAATGGTTTTTTATTAATACTTTCGAAACAGATTGAAAGAAAGTTTCGAAACTCTAGCGTGCATGCCAAATTTTGGTCAGAGGCGAAACTTTTGTACACCAATCGTCAAAAGCATAAATTTGGAAAGAGAAGAATTTGACAATAAGGCAGTTTCAGAGCATACAAAAAAATTACAAATTTAGTGCTCCTTTTCTATTGATATTTTTAAAAGATTAAAACACACCACGAGGAACTTCCGAGGCAGGCATTGAAAAGATAAGCAAATTTGTGAAAAAATAATAGCTCTTATCCACGCTTCATTTGTTCATTATTCATTAAATTCAGGATAATATGTTATGTTATTGCAATTGGCCGTTTGACATGATTTCACCTTATTTAAGTTACAATCAAAGTTTGAAAATAAAAATTAATTGTAATTAAAGTTCAAAAAAGTGAAATGAAATGAAAAAAGTTAAAATATAATGTAATATACAAAACAAAGTATGGAATAAGGCATACAGAAATACAGTTTTTTTTTAACTCTGCTTGCATTCTGACCATCCTTTCGTAGATTTTCTAATAGTTGTGTTCTACTATATAGATCTTGCTTGTAGGCTACGACGGACACAAAACCGCCTTTTTCGCGACTCTAGGGGGAGCTTTCTTTCTCGAGGAAACGATTCATGATTATTAACGTTATAATGTGGACGGTACCCGATTTTTAACATATCACAGGTAATTTATTAATTTTTTTTTGCGTATTTAAGTAACATTTCAAATTTTCAAGTTGTGGTATATCAACTGTAAGCAAATCCGAATAACCGTTTCAGCATCAAAAATCGCACAAACGTACGAAATTTCTTTTCCATTTCTTTTTCTTTTCTTTTCTTTTCTAGGTGCATAACAAATTCCGTGAATAGATATACCATACTGAAATATTCCGCAATACTAGAACCAACGATAACACGATGATATGAAGTACTTATTGTGGATATTGCCATATTAATAATGTATTATCGCCTACATTTTCAAGGTCCATTGTGAACATTATTTCTATAAAATAACGTAGGGGAAATACCAGTGACATTTAAGTAACATTTAAGTGAGCACCTCACTCTTTTAAAACGAATATGTTTCAGATTCTTTTAGTAACATTCGCATTTCTTTGTCATTCTTACGCAGCGGATGACCAAAAATGCAAGTATGGTACATTCCGTTGCCCGGAACGGCCGGTTTCTTGCCCCGTAAACGAAACTTTTCTTCCAATAGGACCTTGTTCATGTAGCTGTCGCGTTTGCAAGCCCATTGTCCCAGTTGGAAGTGAGTAACATTTAAATAATAATAATTACTTATTACATTTAAGGTTTTTAAATAAATAAATAACTAGCATTTTCACGCGTTGCGGATGGCTAGTTTTTTGACATGAAACTTAAAAATTAAGGTATTTATATTTTCTCAAATTTAAAAAAGGTTCGCTAAGCCATACCGCCTTATTGACGTTTTAAGGTGCTAATAATGTCCTTTGATTATAGGAGAAGGAGGGCCATGTACTGTTTTTAGGTTTCGAGATACGGGAATGTGCGACAAAGGATTATTTTGTTGTGACGATGTGTGCGTCAAAGGAGAATATTGTTGCGTGAAATAGAGGTTTGATTGTACCAGCATACTTGCTATTTATACAAATAAATAAAATTATTTTTGTGACTGTGCATGCATGTATTTGTTTTTTTCAGGTTGTAAACCTGACATTACCTTGCGGAACACTCAAATTTACTATTTCGAGAGAAACTAAATAGAAACAGGACTTTATATACATCTTTTGCTCAATAAAAATTAGGAAAGGCGAAGATTACATCATTTCAATTTAATAACTAACGGAACAGTACTTTATTCATTTCATTTACTTATAATTGTTGTTTTTTTCGATGTATAGAACTTTAATTTGGCATTACTGTTCACGATGGCGACCGATTTAACAGCTGTCAAGTGATTTATTCTCAGCTTAGTTTGGCAATTCACCATGAATGGACTCACGCCTGAACAACGCTTGCAAATAGAGCAATTTTATTTCGAAAATAATGGTTCTGTGCGGAATACGTATCGCGCACTACGTGCATTTTATCGTCGACAAAATCGCCCATCAGAGCAGTTAATTCGATCAACCATGGAACGTTTTCGCACCACGTTTACTCTTATTGATAACTTGCATCCCCAGAGACGCCGTATGGTGCATACAGAAGAAGCTATTGCTGCTGTACAGCGTAGCATTGAGGAAGACCCGAATGAGTTCATCCGCCATCGAACACAGGAATTGGATCTGTTTCCATCCACTTTATGGAAGATTTTGCGGAAGGATCTTAGTTTACGTGCTTACAAAATCCAACCTGTGCAAGAATTGAAGCCAAACGATCATCAAGTAAGGCGTAGATTCGTCGAATGGGCCCAAAACGAGATTGCCGTCATTCCCGATTTTCATAAGCGAATTTTGTTTAGCGATGAAGCGTACTTCTGGTGGAATGGCGAAGCTAATCCTCAAGTGTATGTCGAAACACCGTTACATCCAGAAAAACTGACTGGTACGCTTTATGAGCTGGTGGAATTATTGGTCCGTACTTCTTCAAAAACGATGATGGCCAGAACGTTTCATTCAATGGTGATCGGTATAGAGCTATGATTACTAACTCTTTCATTCCTGAATTGAATAACCATGATGTCCAGGAGATGTGGTTTCAACAAGACGGCGCAATATGTCTGACAGCTCGGGCCACAATCGATTTATTGAAAGACACAAAAAATAATAGAAAACCGCTAATTAGGATGAGTAGAACTGGTATAGATAGCGCTAAGAATTATTGATGTTTAACAAAAAAAAGACTGATCGTTAACGCATCTAACATCAGGGCTGTTAGTGCTCTCCCGATCTTCATATTTTTCGTAAATAAAGCTTTCTCCCATCATAAAGGGTGTAGCAGACTAATATTTTGCTGAGGTGGAAATGGTAACTAGTAACTAAAATTGAACCCGACCTAGTATTGTTTTTCATAATGTTTAGTTAGGTCATGTTATTCAACGCTTTTCTGAAAACAACGCGTCTTATCGGTAAATAGGAATCGCTTTATTTTGTTGTCGGATCCATTTGATGTAGTAGCGCACTCACATATAAAATAGCTGATAACGGGCGTATACGTACTTATAAATAGGGGGGTTCAGGAAAACCTTAGCGAGTTTACCGCTTGAATCCACATATCTTCAACATGAGGGGTGTACTTTTAGTGACGTTTGCTTTGTTTTGCACTATATACACCCAAGAAGAAAGCGAAATTTGTAAAGGCAAATCTTTTGAATGTACACCGCAACCTCATTCTTGTCCGGTGAATCAAACTTTAGTTCCCACAAGTTGTTCCTGTGGTTGCAAAACGTGCAAACCTAAACCGCAATTTGGTGGTAAGCAAATAAATTGTAATTCTTGAGTTGCCGATTGCTGTCATAAAGCACGAAAATTTTTGATACGTTGTTATTAAAGTTCTGTTGTTGGGAAACTTACTTGATTTGTATTTATGAAATTACAGTCGAAAGTCTGAAAAAAAAAGGAGATTTGAACAATTCACGCTCTTGAGGACAACGGAATATCTGATATATACTTTTATAAATAAATAGAATAAGTACGTTCCCCTACTATTTGTTGAACAGTACATTTTCTTAAAATTAATGCTAAGTATTATAGGACTTGGATCATCGTGTATCGTCTTATATTTCCGAGGTTTTCCGACTTCAACTTGCAAACGCGGCTTAATCTGCTGTGATCATGTTTGCGTCGAACCAAAGCATTGTTGTTGAACTTCAAGATATGGCAATTCTATTTTTGTATATATTATATATAAATATATAATGGAGCTGATATTTGTTTAAATAAACTTTTGTTTTCCAAACCTGCATTTTCTGATTATTAAAAAGTTTTAAAAATTAGTTATTCACTAATTAAACGCTAACGCTCAAGACGAATTTAACATTCTGCTAACAAACTGCTTTTAAAAGGTAAAATAAATTCAAATCTTTTTTGTTTAATGTTTTAACAGGAAGGAATATCACAACATTACTCTACTGCTGGCTAAAGGTGATAAAGGAAATGAAAAAAAAAGTTATTTGTTTTATTACATTTATTTAGTGGTTGCTTTGGTCAATTCGGAATAATTGCACCAACCAACCAGCTAGTCAATGGGCCAAGTTATATAGTTTTTGCCATCTATTAATTGCAATTATGTCAGGCAATGCCATCTGGTGGCAAGATAAGCAATCACAATCTCCTTCCTCATAGCAGAATTGGTAGCCTAATAAAACCCCTACCGCAACAAATAAAATAAAAGTTTCATTTGTAATCGATTAATTAGTAAAAAATATTAGCATCAGAAAAAAATATATATTTTTAAATGATTTTGGGAGGAAAGGGCCATCGAGTTTAACGGAGTCACGACTATTACCAATAATGGGGCCAAAATCTCAACAATATGCCTGATTTAGAAAAGAAATTTTGATATCCAGTATTTCGAAAAACATCAGGCATTTTAGAATAGGTGTGCCTAAGGATAGGAGAAAGAATAGAAACGCTAACCAAAAACTAGGATTGAGAAGACTAAAGAAAAACCAACAAGCGCAATACGGGATCGAAATAGCAGTTTGTATGGCTATAAAAAAAATTCACGATTAAATACGTGGTATCTATTTCGTAATTACCCATTGAGCGTCTACTTCAAAGACCACAAGATGTTGAAAGAGATAGTAACTAAGTGACCGAAATAGATCCTGAGCTATGTTGAACTGAGGTGGCTTTTATTATTATTATTATTATTATTATTATTATTATTATTATTATTATATGCTTTATAACGTTTCTTTGGGTCGCGTTATTCTGGAAAAAACGAGTCTTATCAGTAAATAGGAATTGTTTTTTGTTAAATTTTAATTAGACGATATGGACCTATTTAATGTATAGTAGCGCTTAAAATGGTTGATAACTGGTGAATACCTACTTATAAATAATAGGGTTGCATTATTTCGAGTTTGCCGCTTGAATCGACATATCTTCGACATGAAAGGTGTGATATTGGTGACTTTTGCGTTGTTTTGCACTATATACACGGAAGAACAACGCGAAACGTGTAAAGGCGTAGCTTTTAAATGTATACCGCCACCTAAATCTTGTCCGGTGAATCAAACCTTAGTTCCTGGGACTTGCTCTTGTAGTTGCAAAACGTGCAAACCTCAACCGCAACTTTTTGGTAAGCATATGAATTTTTAATTCTTTCGTTGAGGGTTGTTTAGGAAAAACAAAATGGTAGGTAACCAGACCGATGCGTACTATTAGAACTGTTGCGATTTGTTCAACTTTTATAATATCTACTCGTAACATTTCTCATTTTGTACTTCAAATAATTAAACCCATTTCAAAAGGATAAGTTTCGGTGTTTCACAATGCAAAACTTATTTCATTTGTATTTATGAAACCACGACCAAAAGGTCGGAAAACAGGAGATTAAAACAACAAAACAACGCTCCTTCGACCTGGACGCAAAAGTTAAAAAAAAAACTGTAGAATTTTATCACACATTGGTAATCCTACAATATTAATTGCAGCATTTTTATTCTATTTTTTGGGGTTTCCTAACAGTGTTTTTCATATAGTTTATAAGTCTTGCCCTGAAAAATAATTCCGATTTTTATAGGGGTTGGATCATCGTGTATCATCCTATATTATCGAGGAATGCCGACTTCAAACTGCAATTACGGATTAACGTGCTGCGACAAAGTTTGCGTTGAACCAAGACACTGTTGCTGAATTTGTGTATGTTTTGATATATGGAGTTGATACTTTTAAATAAACTGTGTGTGTTTCATTATTATTAAGTAGTTTAAAAGCTTTTATATGTACTGAAAATGTAAGGTTATGGAATTATTCACTAATCAAACGCTAAGGGTACATTTCTCTTAATAATATACCGCATAATTACCTATAAGGCTGATAAATTGCATTGCATAAATTGATGTCGTCTTACTAAGGAGCACTTCTATTACATGACTGGGTTAGGAGCAGACTTTTGGCAATTTTGCATTTGGTCATTCTGCATTATTTATAAACTGCGTTAACAGATATATTGTACATTGTAGGTATATCTAGTTGGTAATTGTTTTTAAATTAAAAATACGAAATAAACTTGCAAGGGTTCTTTTCGGCTCAAATCTATTAATATACTTGTAAAAACACAAGTAAAATTATGAGCACACCCTATTTCTTTCAAGTAGTATTATTTTAATGGCACATAAATATTAATTTATACATATCTTCATGAAACTTTTATATCAAAGAAATAGCTTGGTGTCGAATGTTTAGAATATAAAATCATGCAGTTTAATTTATCTTTGATTAAGTTTATAAATTATAAATTTGTATCTGAGACGTTCTTTTCAAAAAATGTTAGCATAAGGTCTGTTCGGTTTGACAAAACAATTTTGTCCGTACTAAAAAAGATCCCTTAGCTACAGCAACAAAAAAAAATCTAAATCGCAAATAAACAAATCTCGCTTGCAGTTTAATCCTTAGGAAAATATTGACGTTTATTAAAATAACATAAGCAGTGTTTTCGAAGCCATCGTCAACAATACCTTGTTTTGTATAAAAGCGCAACTTAAGTAACTGGAGCGTGGAGTAAATCGAGATCAGCAGTTTTTTCAACATGAAAATCTACGTTTTATTCTTGATAAGTTGCGTATATCTTTGCCAAATACACGCAAAAGATGACGAGATAAACTGCGAGGGAATTGCGTTCCGTTGTATACCGCCTCCATCCTCCTGCCCCAAAAATCAAACTTTGGTGCCGGGAACATGTTCATGTAGTTGTCTGTCGTGCCAACCCATTCCGGCAGCCGGAGGTAAGAATATGGCGAATTGTAATAATTTATCAATCTGGGATACTTAATTGCGATGTCTGCTTAATGTATGGACAAAAAATTCAGATTACATTGAAAGTCCAAGAGGAAAAGAAACTTCGTTAAATGAACAGCCAGCACCTTTTGGTAATGTTCTATTCGAGTATGGAGTAAAGATTAATTTCAACAGTGTCAATTTGACGCTGTTTCATTTTGCTATTATGTTTCGTGACAATTATAGTAACGATGAAATAAAGCTTATTATTATTATTATTATTATTATTATTATTATTATTATTATTATTATTATTATTATTATTATTATTATTTAATTTGAATTATAACTGCAGGGTGATTATTAACAAATATTCTACATTAAAAAATAATAATGATTGGAAAAAACAAAATCATACGTAAGCACGTAATAACGTTGCTGCTTTTTAGAAAGTTACCGCTTTTAAAGCGATCTGGTCACGTAAAAGGTTGTATCTACATTATAAACTTTTTTGAAATTCTCTTTTATATTAAACATAAGATATGCTAAAATTATGTAAATGAATCCAGATACTTCAAAACTACTGCTTAAATAATCATTCTTTTCTCATTTAAATGGCGTTAACTTAATGGGATTGTTTTTTTGAAGTACATTTGGAACTTGTGTTAACATATTCTTTTATATGATAACAACAAAATCTAAAATAAGCTACGACTTTTAACCAAGTTGTTATCATTGTTATTATTATATTTTGGTTAATGTGATGTGTGTTTTTATTTAATTCATGTAAACTCTGTTCTTATTTTATTCTTATAAAAACAACAACCAATAAATTACGAAGCCGTGTAGGAAATTTCATAATACCGATTTTGTTTTAATTCCAACCATAGAGGTTAGCAGATTTCTAGAAAATTCGTCTAAAATCGTATAAATAAAACAAGCTACTATTTAATTGCGATAAGCATGTGCGTACTTCCATAAATTATGCAATATTTTTTGTTATTATGCGCTGCAGAAAGCTGAACTGAACTCGGGCCGACCCATACTGCAGGACTTCCGATGTTTTGGGATTTTAACACTTGGTTTAACCAAATCGTGAAAAATTCGATCTATCGTCAAGCATTTATAAATGTTTGTCTATGTAGTCTGTTGTTTCCTCACAATATCAACGGTTTGGCAACTGTCAGTGCAGCTGTGGGATAATACTTCAGCAAATTTTTTCTTTGCCAAAGTTAAACATTAAAGCACAGTTTTCAACAATATTAAAATTTTGTAGGAAATTGACAACACATTTTTGGAAGTATAACGAAAATGAAGAGTCAGTAAAATCTTCCTTAACCATATAAGTAAAATAATTAAAGTTCAACATGTTGGGAATATATATAATTCCCCTTTGATGCAAAATTACGATTCCAGAACCCAATTAACTACCAACAAAAAATAACCTAGAAAAAGTCGGTTTTTTCTTCTTCTATTATTTAAAACGTGTTGTTGTAACATGTGTTCAAAAACGGTTTGAAAATTGCAAAAAACCGGATCGTGGTTTGATGTAGAAACAAACGTACGAAAAGATTACCTACTGGCAAAGTTTCGCATTTTAATTCCCGTCGCGGTGTTGCTGCCGTAAATCATGAATACATTCGGCGGACATTGGAAGTAAGTTTATGTTTCCACAATCGTCCAGAGAGGAATTTAGCGTGTTCGAAAGTCCCGCGAGATCCATACCGAGCGTACTAAATTGCAATTTTGTTTCCCAGCAACATACGACTTTTAAAACTATTTGCCGGTTATTTATATTCATTCGAATATGGAACAACATGGACCAATGCTAACGAGATTCTATTTTTAGTTGTTAGTGAAGCGAAGAAAAATATTCGTGCAATTTATAGTAGTACATCGCTATTATATTTCAGGTGTGGGATCGCCATGTCAAGGTTCATCTTCCGTTTGCGCCGAAGGTCTGACATGCTGCGATAACGTCTGCGTTCAGTCGAGACATTGTTGTTGAGTGACTTATTTGTTGATAAGGATCAGTTTTCAGGATATATATAATGTGTTGCTTAAACGCTTCATTATTTCTGTAAATAAATAAGTAAATTTTGGATTGAAAGCATTTTAGTAAGCAGTTCCGCAACGTGGCAGTTTGGTAACTACGAGGTAATTATTGCATAATTTGTTTACTTGGTCACAAAATGAAATTTTAAAATGAATTTGCGTGAGTTCAATTACTGCCAATAGAAAAATAAACAGATAAGCGTTCTCTTATCACCGTTGTATGCGTGCAGGTGAAAAGTATCGGAAATTAGGTAAAATCAAAATAATACTGCATTAAGACCAAGTGGCTTATTACCAGAATTTTAGTTTGTATTCTATCCTAATTGACAATTTGTGAAACATATGCTTTCAAAAACAACGCTTACAGTTTTGAACTAAGGCGACTTTTATGGGGATTTAATGAATGAAATTGAAACAAACGATATTCACATTTTCAAGTATTATTTAATGGTGTATGACAGCTGTCTCGGCAAAACCGTGCCTTTATCATCTACAGAACGATAGAATATTCCGACTTGTATAAATATTAAAAGGTGAATTTTGAATTGATATTTATTCACCCCTCGTTCGATACAGTAGGTATATTTGTACTAATCTCTTTCTTTTTTTCCAAAAGCGCATTTTCTTATTACTATCGCGCAATTTTTTAAGACTGAGGAGTACAAGTAATTGTAAAAGAGAAGCCGTAAAAGTCGTTTCATTTCGTTTCATCATTTTGTATTGTTTCGCGTCAAAACAATACGCTCCAGGTTGTGGATAGTTTACCGCTAGTTTTGCTGGTTTTGATACCGCAACACGGTAAGCTAATAATACCGAAGTAAAATTATTTATTTATCATGGTAAAACGTTGTAATCCACTGAATATTTAAGAACCCCCGATAAATTTTCGATAAAGTTTATTTTGTGAATGGTGGAGTGTCATAACGTGTTCAATTAAATAACAATTTGCTTAATAGTTACAATATTGTTGGGAATAAATCGAAATGTTGAGATAATGGAAATAAATGACCTTATGAAAATTAACGCTAGAGACATAACTTCTTTTAATTGATGCGCATCAATCTGAATAACTCCTAAGAATGAGTTAATACTCAAAAAACCCGCGGTCCTCAATCGCAGAAAACACAAGAACATGAAATACCAGGCCACAAAACTGGTCTAGAGTTTTTATAGAATAGTCTGTCAAATAAATTTTAGGCTGCGCGAACACCAAAAACTTGAAGTACCTTAAAAGCTGCGTCAGAATGTTTGAAACAAATTTTTATAGTTCCTTCTTATCGTCGTCCATAGTTCCGGCACGTGGTCGAATCCAGAAACGGGCATTAGAGAAAATTTATGAAACCTGTTAGCGAGTATGAATATTCATCCTCCTCCTTTTTAACTTAGGAGCATCCTAAGCTGAAAAATGTAGGCATTTTTAGTCAAGTTTGACTACCGTTAAGTTCAACTATTCCCAAACAATCTAAAATAATATTGCATAATAAGTTGTGAACACTATTTTTTAAAAGATAGCATAACCAATTATTTTTCTTAATACATATTTCATAATATTAACATTAAGAACATGCAGAATGTCTTTCTGATCTGTGCCGCGTACACTGACTTTTCTAAGGCTTTTAACAAGGTTCATCACCCCACTCTGGTAAAGGAGCTTGGAAATTTGGTGTGCAAGTGCTTGTTGCAGTTACCTAACCGATAGAACTCACTTTGTGGTTGTGATTGGTGAAAAGTTGCTTTATGCGAATGTAACTCCTGGAGTCTCTGAGGGTCACACTTGGGACCCTTACTTTTCAATATTTTTATATTTGATATTGGACGCTGTTTTCAACATTCAGTATCAGCATCATTCGAACATGACTTAAAAGTAAAAAAGAAATTCGTTACCCAACGGACATTTTAGAAATCCAGAATGATATCGATATGTTCAATATGCACTGTAGCAATCACAGACTTTTTTTAAATCTCGATTAATGTCGAATAATACAGTTTACAAGGAAAAAACAACCTATTAATATTGGTTTAAAATTAGACTTTATAAAACTTAAGAGAGTTACTCAAGTTAAAGATTTATACTGGACTCTGAGTTAACATTTGAAGAACATGTAGAAAATATTGTAAAGGCCTTGAGAAAACTTGGTCTGGTATTACGTAACACTAAAGGTTTTCGCAACCACAAATCAGTCATTCTAATTCATAATCAAATCATCAAATTCATCTTGGAATACACAACCACCTTATGGAATCCAATTTATCGCAAATATGTCGATCGGATAGAGAGTGTCCAAAAAAAGTTTTGTAGAGATTTTAATTTTAGATATAATAGAGACAATATGACAACAACCCACAGTTTTATAAATTCACTCCGAAATTGCTCAAAATTGTCAACAATCTTATTAAGTCACCTTCTTGTACAAGTAACATATCTTTTAATAATAGTCCGTATCCAGTGAGCACTAGGCTAACATTTTCTATAGAAAGAGTGAGATTTAATTACTTCTTAAACTCTCCGCTTATTAGATGTACTAGTACGTACTTATTCAACTTAAACCTACATCTGTTTAAAAGAAACGTATACAAAATTTTGTAACATTCCTTTAATTACTGTCTATCAGCTTAGGAAATATCTAGTTATGTTTCTTTTGTATTCCCGACCATGTGTAATTTTATGTTTAATATGAGTTATTAATTGGACAGCCTCATCTGGCTGTTGGTTAGCCTTTGGCTTTATAAAATAAAATAAAATAAACTATAATTTTTGGCTTCATGAATTTGTTTATACACTTTGAGATTAAGTCAATCCAGCAAGATTGATGAATGTCGGAAAATCACCGGCCAAGGGTTCGTTTGGGCGTAAGCTTTGTCAGATTCCAGAACTCTATATGTACCGCGGGATTAAGCTTTAGATTTATCTTCGGGCCGTAGGCTGTTAATTTATTGGACGCCAAAATCTAACACAAAGCAGTATTTTTCACAATCGCGAAAGCAATTTTTTTATATTCAACCTATACGACACAAAATTATTATTATTGCCATTTATAGTAAACGTCCAAATTGATATATAGGCAAGTAGTTGGAAACCGCTTTTTTCTATTAGTGCTTATCGCTGTTTGTGACGGTAAACGGTAAAAGTATATTTTAACAGGTATTTAGTTTTAAAATGGGCTTCTATTCGCTGCTTCTTGTATTGTCGATCTTGACATACGTGGTTTATGCCCAAAATTGCAAGGGTATAAAAATCGAATGTAAAAAAGAGCCCCGCTCTTGTCCCAAAAACCAAACGCTAATCGCATCCCCTTGTTCATGCGGTTGCAAAACATGTAAACCTGCTCCATGGCCAGGTGGTAAGTATTTTTTTGTGGATTAAGATCACTTTACACGAATTTTTTATCTATGTCCTGTATTAATGGTGATTTTCCCTTTAATGTAGCGTTGTCTTGTTACTTAATACTAAAAATACATAGTTATGATAAAATGTTTGTCAGCAACTTTTTTTTATTGCAGCAGAAGGATCACGTTGTATTGTAGTGCGATTAGACAAAGATAGTTCTAACGGATGTAATGAAAAATTGAAGTGCTGCGACGGCGCTTGTTTCAAACCGGAAAAGTGTTGCACTAAAGACCAACTTGAATAAATTGCATTTTTTTTTAAATTTTCCCAAAATCTGAAATGCAGGCCAGTTTGTTAACGTTTGTGGAATAAATCTGTTGAAATTGACATTTACTAGTGATTTAATAATTTCATGTTTTTGAGTGAGAGTTGAATTTTTCAAGTACCTTTTTGTCTACATGGGAATCTTCATGGCATTACGAGAACTTTAATCTTTAAGAAAGTATTTTTTCCATAATCGGCAAAGAAGCAGTTGGTAAAGTCGATTAATTTCTTCACTGAGCATATAATTGATTGCATATAAAGTATGTTATCACTAGATTATAGGTATTCTTTAGACCACATAAACTTTTACTCATGGCCGATGCTAGTGGTCACTTATTACTGACTTTCTTTTTTCAAAAGTTCGGTTTGTCAAGAAGGAGACTCAGGCGATACTCCAAATATTTTTGAAGTCCAGTACACAAACACACTAATAAAAAATCAAAAAAGGCAGAAAGCCCTTAATATTCTAAAAACCGCGATCGATCGTCACCGTTCAAAACGACAATGTATTATAATGCTTAATCGGTAAAAAAAATACATGGTTACCAAACAATAATTATTAACAATTATGTCATTGTGTTGGTTTATGAAAAGCCTACTTGAATGGTCATTGAATTTCTATAATCTTTAACATGTTATTTTACAACTGTTACAAAGCTTGTAAACTATCACAAGGTTGTTATGTGTTATGTGGGTAGGTCGGCAGATTTGCAAATTTGGTTTGGGCTCAGTGTGTCCTGTATCCGCTTAAAATTTGTTAGTAATGTTTGGAGCTATGATTTTTTTGAGGCATATCTCTGGGCATTAGCGTATACTATGAGCCGCGCTGAAATAATTGGCATCACTGTTGGTAGATTGGCTAAGCATGCTTTTGAGAAGCACCTGGAATAGTAGAAAAGGTTTTTTAAACTTATTATAACTTTGAGTTGACTATCGGTTGAAACAAGATACTTTTTTTGCAATACCAAATTTTTCCTACCTTTTTGTTTTCTTTACTGCGATTAAATTTGAAAACCAAATAAACTTTTGAATGCCTAGAAGTTGTCCTGTGGAACTGAAGGGTGTGGAACGTTCATTGTAAATTGATGCTGTCCTATAAAAACAACCTGTATCAGATATTGGAGCTAAGTAAATCAATATGCCAAAAGAATTTAGCGGTAGTAAAGCATCAGTTTAATTACTTGTGTAGCTACAACGAATGTTCAATGCCGAATCGAGTTTCTCCATGCTGACGATCCATTTCGGGACCGGGTTCGAAGAAAACTGAGAGAGAAACCGCTATTTATTCCACCCCATTTGTTACTATATTCATAATGTGCGCTCCGTCGTGTAAGCTAAATGGGGAGACCGTGGAGCCAAGACGGTATCTAATAGGACGGATCAGAATTTCCTTAGTATTCGGAGTCCTCCCGGCCTCTCATTAAAAAGTATGGGTTTAGGAAATTGGTACCTTCGATATGATATATTGTTTGCTAGCTGAATTGGTCATAAGGTATGGGTCGGATAGGATGAGTAATGTGAGCTACACGACATTTTTATTTTTAATACACAGGGTGAAAATTTGATGACGATGTTCTGTAGTTATTTCCGAAATCTACAAAGATAAGACAAGAATTAAGCGTTTTACGTTATATTGAATGGACTAATAAGTTAGTAGTGGACTGTCTTCATTGCTGGAGAATATAAAGAAGTTGGCCTAGGCGTGATTTTGACCAAAAAATTTAAAAATCAGATATTTTTTACTCACACTAAGAGGCATCATTTGCGTGAAAAATTTGATTCTTTTAAATTTGACTTTGCATATCGAATGGCAAATGTTAAAAAGGATGCGACCAGTAGATAAATTATGAAAACCAACGACTAGGGAACTGGACCAAAACACATCAAATTCAGATTTGAAAAAAGTTTTTCTTGAAAAATAAAAATTAAGTTATGAAAATTTGAGGCTGAATACAGTTTTTGATGTTCAATATTAAAAAAATACTATTTTATGACCAGCATCAGATTCGACTGGCCTACACTGTAGAACAGCATTGTATAGTATTTTTTTGACGATCTAAATATTGCTTGACGGACATATTACATTTTTAGAAGATAATTTACTATTTTAACATTTTCAAGCAAGCAAGTCTTACCGATGAACCATTTTATTGAAAGTTTTCCGTTTGTTGCATAGTGGTTTTTAACTATAACTGATCCATCTACTAGTGCCATCTGTTGTCAAGTAACTGTACCAACAGCAATAACACGTTGGATTAACACTCACTATTATTACTGGTGGATTTGTGGTATTTTTTCATCTGTTCTCTTGAAATATTCGATAAGTAATGTATTTACTAATTTGGGCTGATATGATTACGGTAAAAAAAAAGATATACAATATTTTTGCTGATTTGACGCAACTTGCGGCACTCTTGCATTTACCTAAAAAATAAAATTTGATTTTACCAGTCTTATTGCAGTGATAAAAAATTATATTAATTTTCATTGTGGCACATTTGGCAAAATTAACTCAAATCAAAATGTATATGCGTACGGAATAGTTAGAATCAATCCTCAGTTGCTTCAGGACAAGAAATTATATCATATCCTGTGTAAAATCAGAGCGTTGTATCTACAAATCTCCGATTTACAAAAAATATTCAGTTAAGCAGAAGAGAAAAGGATGGAAATATGAAAGAGCTAGATGTACTCGGTACAAGGAATATAGATTTTTCCATCGGTCGGTATATTGATTCGTAGTCTCAGAAACATGATATTTTGTCATTTCGTCAATGTTACTGTGACAAATTCAATTTTTTTCACCAAATAGAGAAAATCTGACTCTAAAACTTTTTCGACTAGGGGGTAATTTCTTCACTTATTGGTGCTAGAAAAAAAGCAACTCCTAAATAAAAGTTCTTTGAAAGAGAATAGAATAAAACCTGGTGATTCTCCTGAAGGAAGAACACGCAATAACCTCCACACTGTTCATGGTAGATCTAAAGGTTGGTTAGTTTTGGTTAGTTCATTAGCACTGCATCTCGGTCACATCCTATTAAATGGGCGTACAATATTTGTAACGAAGGTTTAGTTATATCTCTCAATTCAGAAAAGAACTACGTACAATTAGAAACCTTGTGCTGGAGATTACTTATAGGTCAAGAATGTCATTACTAAAGAGTTAACATTTATTTTATTTAGAAATATGTGTTGTATAAATAAATTTTCTTTTAAGTGCCCGAAAGGGTTAAAAGTTCAGGTGGTTAGTTTCTGAGTCGTTGTTGGACTAGTACTAACCAGAACATAACAAAACCGCTCTTGAAACAGTTTGCGTCATATTTACAAGCAACAAAACGCAACTCTGCTTGAGCCCTTATTAAAAAAAATGTTGCCATACACCCGCCCATACATTTAAATTGGGATGCTGTTTGTTCGCCATTCGTAAACATTCAACACACTTAAGCATCCATTTGCCACGGACACTGAACGTGAATAGCCTCTGCTCGTGCATTCAAATTAGATATTGACTTTTTCCGTGTAATATACAGGCCTTAAATTTTTTCGATCATCAAATTTTAATTCGCTCTACCTCAATAAATCCAGACCTTGTACGTAGTATTGCAGTTGCTCGCACAACAAGCGGGTACCGAATAAATTAAACTAGAGCAAGAACGTTAAAAATTTAAGTCTCCCCCGGTTGGGGGTTGAGACGGGACCGATTTCGTGGCGGTACGCGAAAGGCCACAAAAATATATTTCACTTTAAAGGCACATACGGAGAATTAGCTCTCCCGGGAAATATGAATAAAAAATGACACACTTTTCCATCGTTTGTGTTATACAAACGCTCTATTAATTTATCGGGGGTTGTTTGGAATGACTTGGTAGTAAATAAAAAGAGATGATTGAATTCAGATTATAAAATTGCTTCGTAAAATGTTGGAGTGAAAATGAAATGAAGACGCTACGCATTCTAAAAAACTTCATTCCAATGTGTGAGTTGGGTTTTATTTGACTAATTTTATATTTAATTGAGCCAACGAGGAGGCAGCTCATTAACCACTAAAGTCCGCAACATATGGGAACTTTTTTTTTGAGTTTTGGCAAAATTTTATAATGGAAATATTTCGTGCATCAATCAAAACAACAAATAAATAAATTTATCAAAATATCGAAAAATGTTATTGAAAAAAGTTGTTTTTTATTCTGTTGTGAATGTGTCAATTTTGAAACAATTGATTTGCTTCACGTCTTTTTAATCACACTAATGTAAAACATAAGACGGAGCAGACTAAATATACTTTAATACAGCGTTTTTCTGTTATATTAAACCCACGATTCCAAAGAAAATCAAATCAATTGGTCGAAGTTGCTGCAAACTTATTATGGTTTTTACATTTGCAAATAAAATTTGGAAAAAGCTGTTGATAGGTGCAAGAAAAAATTGGACACAGACAGGCTATGGTCAGCATTTTGAAAATATTTTCAGCAGTTGGAATGTTGTCAGTCAGTTTTTTCATTGCAGGCTAGTTATTAGAATTAGTATTCTTAAACTATATTGTATTTTGGCATTGGATATAATTTTTTATTAGCTAATTAATATGATTATAAAATACAGGGGGTTCTATTTAAATATTCTGAATTAGAATGAAAAATTCATTCTCCTAAGCTATTTTTTAAGCGCTGTATAAGCAATTTAAGTGTGTGGAGTCTTATGGTGCACGTATTTATTTAAGCACTGACCATTGCGCTGCCGTTAAAGTAACATTGATTAATTATAACAAAAATTGAACCAAAATTTATTACTTAAGAATATACTTGCTTTACAACATATTACAACCAATAGTATATTAGGCAACAAGTAGGGTAAATGGCATTTGAGTAAGGAGTTTATTTGGCACGAGCGGAGCGAGTGTTTAATAAACGAGTGAGTCAAAAAGTTTACCGAACGTGGTGCATACCTATACTTTTTCTACGACCGTTAGATTTAGAATACATACAGAAAACAACACGAATATGTTCACTGACGTGACCGTCAGAATTGATAAACGTCACAATTCAAATCGTGCGCCAAAATCCCAG